GCGCAACTTAAATTTATATTGTGCATTCACACACAGATTGGTACAAATCTACAAAGTATTTTTGCACATTCAGATGCAACTTTGTATTTTACCCCCCCCCCCAAAAAAAAAAAAAAAAAACCACTTCATAACAGAATTTGTATGCAGTTAAATACTGCCTAATGATTCATTGTGGGAAAAGGTGGTAACAGGAGGTAGCAGGATGACTCTTTGTTTTTGGCAGTTCTATGTTTTTCTCAAGGATATTAACAAGGGACCAGACTTCTCTCTGTAATCACTAGGCAAGCGCCCCGCTGACTCAGAGTGATTAAAATCTACTGTCTAATTGTATTTGTACAGATGACATCAATAGTTGTAAAGATATTTGGGCAACTAAAAAAGTTTAAGAACATGAAAACATGCTTATAAACTTTGCTATCTGAAAACTTCTCTGCAAATTCTCATTAAAACTGCTTGAAATCTTTAACTTCATGCTCAAAGAAGTTGAGGTAAACACACTAATGACTATGATTGTGTGTGTTGTGTGTATGGCTGAGTAAATGTGAGGGAGAAGGAAAGAGGGATGATCTGATCAATCACAAAAACATGCCTTATTTTTACCCTGATTGGTATTTGAACTGGACTCATGCAGAGGGACAGGACTAAGCAAAGTGTGCATGTATCTCTTCGTGTGTGTGTGTGTGTGTGTGTGTGTGTGTGTGTGTGTGTGTGTGTGTGTGTATCAGTGTGTGTATCAGTGTGTGTATGTCCTGAGCAGCATGCATGGAAGTGCAAAACTGACTAACATGCGAATCGTTAACTTGATACCAGAAAAAAGATACTAAACAAACCCAGAAAACGCAAACAAGACTCTTTCGCGCACACCTACGTAGTATACACTGTGCATACAAAGACATACATAGAGAAAAAGACAGAGCTATCTGAGGTTCAGCTTCTGTGCACCAAGGCAATTTGTAATATAGATTTCCTCTATAAGCCACTGTAGAGTACCATTTACCATTTCAAACCCTTTGATTTTTTTTCACCATTGGATAATTCATCTTCTGCCGCTCAATAACCGAGATTGGGACCTAATGAAGGAGTCATAGTCACAACGGCCATCACACAGGTGTTTAAACACAGTTTGGAGTCAAATTCACTGAAAAGCTCATTGGTTTTTGAAATGATGGAGGACACGAAGCATGCAAAGGAAAAATGCAAAGGACTGTGTACAAAGGTGGGTCAGTGAGTGCATAACATATACAAATACATACTTTTTGATACATACAATAAAAAAGCATTAGAGTGATTAACTGAATCATTTACAACCAGATGTAATCACTGTACTTGCTCATACAGTATCTTGAACTTAAACCCAAAGGTTACTGAAACATTACAGTTACAGTTACAACAACACCGGTAGTATTGGGAGCATTTTTATTAGCTGAGCAATGTGTTTCAGCCACAAGCCAAAACATGCACATACTACTTAGGCTGCATGAACTTTTACCACTTTAGTTACTAAAGCGGAAAGCAGACTTTAGGTTCCATGCCAGAAGGCTCTACTCTGTTTCTACTAATACTAAAAGGCCAGAGAGGAAGTCCATTATTGATATTGGCAAGATTCTGAACTCATCTAACTTGTCAGTCCATTAAGGTCACCTGATAGGGGTTTGCAGTGTCTGCTTTACTATCTTAGTCATTAGATGCTCATGGCTGTTGCTCCTTGAAAGGCTGTGATGAAATACTATGATGCGATGGGTAAGAGCTGGATGAGAACATTTCTTACACTTTCATATTAATCCATTAAATATAGGGCTATAGCCTGTTTGCTCAGCTTAGCATGAAGTATGGAAACAGAGGGAAACAGCTAGCCCAGTTCTTTGGAGGCCCTGTAGAGTCAGGCTAGCTTGTAAAGTGTGCCCACAGTTTTGCAATCCTGTATCCACGAAGTTGTGGGATAAAAGAAAAACAAAAAAGGAACTGGAGTTTGGGATTGGATCAGCCAAGTAAGTCCACTTTAAGAAATCTTAACAGTAAAATCAAGGAGTTGACATTTCACAGCTTTCATTGTGTGTTTAATGTGTACTTCATGCCAAAAACAAAAGCTTCAATTTGAGGCAGTTTAGTAACCTACAGTTCAACTAGTCCAAAAATCTGTGTGAAGACTGCAAACTCGGGCACAGATTACAACATGAGTTAGATAATGGTCTCAGAGGCCTCTATTCACAGGCAATGGGACCTAGCTAAACAAACAGCTAAAACATGAAAGCTCGCTTAGCTCAATAAATAAATAAACATCACAAAGAAAAGTATCTTGAAAAATTACTGTATAGATAAAAAAGGGAATCAATCAAAAGTAAACATGATAAAATAAGGAACTTATATCAAAAATCAACGTGGGTACGGTCATATAAGGTGCTTTGCTAGCTGTCCCCGTGGCAGCGAAGCTGAAACAGATGTTAGAGAAGGTTTTCAGCTGCATATCCAGTAAGCGGTGTACTTTCCATTAATTATCCACAGCTATTCACAACAGCCACAGTCATTTTGATGACCTCTGCATAAGCTCATCGAGGAACCCAAAAATCCAAACGGTGTGTTGATTCCAATGAGATTCAAACAATTACAGCGCTGATGAATTCCCTTGGCGAGTATTATGGATGCATTCCAACAGCTAGCAGTTCACTATCCAAGCCACAGAAACTTTCCTTCTTAGGTAGCATATCAATCCCTCCACGTTTCTTCTAACCGCTAAGATTAATGTCTCTGTCCACACGAAAAGTCTTGAAGCCAGGTAAGGTCACACTGTGGTCCACTAAGTATGTGCACCAACATCTCACTGCAGTGCTCCAAATAGTACATGGCACAACACTCTGTGCTTTTCCTCAGGGAATGGTCTTAATCAGCTCGCCAAGCTCATCTGTATCATTGTCTAAACGCACCAAATACCCCCTGATGATCGCTGGAACAGCTCCATCATTGAAACCCCAAAGTTTCCTGTGTGGGTCCTCCAGGATTACAGGCCCTGCACTGGGCAATAGAACTGTCAGCACTATTAGCTGGTGAACAGCCCCCACTGCAAGAGTGTAAACTGAAGAAAAACCTTTAGTAGTACACTAAACTTGACTTTGCAAGACTTGCAGAACAAACACTAGATGTTTCAGCTTAGTATAAATCACAATGAGCAAAAAAAAAAAACCCTAAAATGTTCCATTCATGCATCCATTTTCTTAACCGCTTATTCAATTTAGTCACAGGGATCTGGAACTTCTCCCAGCTGTCATAGGGTGAGAGGAAGAGAACACCTTGAACAGGTTGCCAGTCACATCACAGGGGGTTACACAGAGAAGCAGACAACCACGGACACACACTTACACTCCTACGGCTAATTTGGAAGCCCAGTTAACTTAACATGCATGTCTTTGGACTACCTGATGAGAACCCATGCAGGCACAGGGAGAACATGCAGCAACCTGCACATAAAAGCCCCAGCCGCCGCATTCAAACCCAGAGCCGTCTTACGGTGAGACAGCAGTCTATTTTTGAAACTGTATTTTTTAATGATAGAAAGAAAAGCAATTTACTGTATTTATTTGTGAACATTTAATTGCTAAATTTTTCCATAAGAATAAGAAAACTTCATCTTGATGGATTAAGTGCAGATAAAATTAAAACCATGGGGACTGGGAGAAGAAAAACAACTTATTTATCTTATAAGATGTTTCCATATTTTTGAGGAATTTCCCGAAACGTATCAGCATGAGGAAAAAAAATCCTTTAATATTGCAACTTTTATTATAGAAGAAATTCTTGCACTAGCAGTCATTGGCACGTCTGCTTCAATCAATAGTCTGACATACCTCTGACAAATGTCATGCAAAATTTTTGATCACAGACAACAGAGAAAAGAGAGCCAGCCACGCAGCAAAGGGAGACATGAAAGAGTTTTCAACACTCGTGAAATAGATGAAGAACTCTTCGCGAGCGCTGACATGGCTTGTGACTGACCAATCAGCTGGCCTTAGTTGGTGTCTTACTGGCCCTGGGCTATCACAATTGTCAAGCCATGGTGCACTAAACAGAAGAAAGGAGAGCCGTGTTATGTGGACTGCATTATTCACAAGGACAGAGTGGAGGAAAAAAACGGAGTAAGGTGAAGGAAAGTGAGTGAAGGGGAACAAAACGAAAAGAGAAGAAAACAACAGAGCACATGAGTGAGAGAGGACAGAAAAACAAGAGTGGGAAAGAAAAGAAGGCATGAAAGAGAAAATGAAATACATAAAGAAGAAACTTGAAGGTAAAAAAAGGGAACAAAACACATAATCAAGGCATGAGAGAGCACCGTGGTGTGGGGAAGCTTACGGCTGGATTCAGAGTTTGTCAAATCTAAATGAACATCACTTCCCTACACTGGCTATGGCCTTAATTATCCATTCTGCCTTTGTACAGCGGCAGCTCAGCTCTGACAACTGCTCTCCCTTGAGATTCCCCCCAGCTCCCAGCTAGAACATTAGGGAATATCAGGGAATATTACACCTAGGAATTAACGCTCCAAATCACCTTGCTAGGTTTAGGTCCCGCATATACCCCTCCCTTTCTTGGACAAGATAATCCTGGCTCTAGCACCGGATATATGCCACTAATCATCAAAAAGGCAAGGGGTGGGGGGGTTGCAGGGAGAGAAGGAACAGCAAGGAAGATCTTCAAGGGAAAGGGAGAATAGAGGAGATCATGAGTATTAGTATTCATGTTTATGTAGTACAGTACACCTGGCTTAAATGTTTCATCCAGATGGGTCAGCGAGAAAAATCAATAGGCTGACTGGTAGAAGAGTTAGATAATCGCATTTAAATAATGAAGCGGTAAAACCTGGCATAGCTGTAATTTATGTACACACAGTATCAATTCATTTTCTTCTCAGCAAACACCTCACCTGCGTTGTGCCCCGAGCCCTTTTTAAACAAACACCTGAAATTATTTGGGAAGACTGCGTCACTGAGGTTTGGTGCGTATTTCTTCACCTGGTCCAATGCATCCTGTTTCTCTCTCTCTGCTGTGAGTTTCTGATGGACAGCCTCTGTCAGCTCCTTCTTCAGCCCCGCAGCCATTGACCTGCGAGCGAAAACAAAACAGCCGAGCTTAGTATCATCCTAAGACGAGGCTTATCAACGAAAAACAAAACAAAAACACAGCTTAAGTGAGTAATTCGTTTTTGGTTAAACTGATTTCATTATTCAAATGTATTTTACAAATACATTATTTCCATTAGCGCAAAAACAAACAGAGATAGAAAATCCCGATCCGTGTTAGTGTTTAACGCAGGCCCCGTGAAGTGTGAGTATGTGTGTGTGTGGCAGCCCAGCTAAGGGAATGTGAAGGGGATCAATATGAAGGGGTCTATTCCTGCCACGCACCGTGCGTCCGTGCGTGCGCGAGTCAGTCAGTGTCTACGAGTGTGTGTGTACATGTATGCGAGCGAGCCTGTGTGTGCCGGCTGCCCTGGCTACAGCTGAATCAATACGACAAATGATTACCATTTCCACAAACCTCCCTCCACAGCCTCACTTCGGCCGCTCTCGGGCCTCGACACCCCTCCGCCAACACTCCACACAGACACACACATATATATTTATATATATATATTTATATCTATATATACACACACATAAACAACCCCCCTTTCCCTCCACTCTTGACCCATACCTCTAAAAAGCCGATATAAAAATGAGAAATTACAACTTTATGAATAGTAAAAGCATCCGGGCCTTTTACGGCCAAAAGTTTTTTGACCATAATCTGAAGTTAGCATATTATTGATTTTACAGTTAAAAAAAAGAATGACTAGGCAGGGAAAGACCACAAAGTCAGCATCTGTCTATTAGTTTTTATTGGCTTCTGTGTTAAAATGACTCATCCAAAAATATCAAAACCTTAATAGAAAGCCCAGTATTTACCCAACTAAATCTTTCTAACACTGGTGATAAATGTGATTTATACTTCATACTTAAGTTCATTAATCAGTCTATTAAGTGCTAAAAAAATGCAACTTTAACTTACTACCACTTTTGTCTGTTCTGTCTACAACTTATTATTTTCATTATCGTTTAATCTGCCAATTATCTTTCATTTTTAATTATTTACACTGTCTAGAGCAGTTCCCAAGAACCCAAAACCTGAAGTGTCTTCACATGATTATAGGTTTTATCCTCTCAGAAAGACAAACCCCAAATGATAGAAGATCAAATTTTTAGATTTGAAAGGCTGGGGAAACTTGTTTTGTCATTTCAGATTATATTTGATTACTTTATAAAAAATGTCACGGATAGCTGTTGCATTAAGAGATGGCCGATAGCAGAAGGGTGACAAAAATAAGAGAGAAACAAGAAGGCGATATCTCTAGGCCACCAGTGCTCTCCTTAGATCCTACAGTTTTCCTTGGGTAAGAAGTGAATGATGAAAAAGTAATGATCAAAAAAATTATGAAATATGAAACCTTGATAGTTATGAAGGCACACCAGCAAGAGCTGGGCAATTTTAATTAATTTTCTTCTCAGATGATTAGAAGGCGATAAAATGAAGAATAAAAATCCGTATACGTTTGTATAATGAAAGGAAATCGTAGCCGACTACACTCAGAATCCCTCGCTAAATGTTCCTCAGCAACTTTAAAGCTGAGACTAATAAAGCAACTCATTGGTAGCAAAAGTTGAAGCAAAAGCCGTACAGCCAAAACAAAAGGAAGAGAAAATGTCTGACAGATCGGTCCGTAGAGAGAACATATGATAGGATGAACAGAGTGGGAGAGAGAAGGAAAGAAAGAGAGGAGGCGTCCTGTGGAGAAAGAAGGGGGATTTCCCACAGCACAGATGGAAGCCATTAGCATGGTGCTGTTGCTTAAAAACCTTTCATGTCTTTGCAGTTATTAGATAATACCCGGTTAACAGTAAACAGCATGATTCTGCAAATGGATATAATATGCAGGCACAGCGATTGTTTTACCATACAGCATCTAAAATTGGTTAAAATCTAATAAAATGTAATAATTCAGAATGTAACCTATAAAGTCTCCATACTGAGTTTTAAATTGTCAGTTGACGAGCAAAATGTTCCATGGCTCAACTTAACCAAGAAACTCCCCGAGACGGAGACCGTAGCGGTGAGGTCATGTCGAAGCCAAAGCCGCAACCACAACTATGCGTGCACAAACAGCAACACACAAACACACACTCGACTGGGTGATACATGCTTGCTGATGTCATCACCGCAGCTCTGGTGAAACAGAGAGGTCAACCAGAGGTCTCACCTCTGAACTCTGCGACCCAACATCTGCTTGCTCACCTTCTCCCATCAATACATGTTTGTATATATTTTCTCTCGCATTAATCCAGGAGCAGATAAAAGGGAAAGCAGTTCACATGTTCAGGAACAATGTAACATTTTGCTTTGCAGGCTCAAACAATGTATGCATTTAGAGCTCAGGGCTGTTCTGTTCAACACATGTTCGGTTAAAAAAAAAAAAAAAAGCCTACTGTGCGTCGCACGTAAAAAAGTCTAAATGTTTTTGATTACCGAGCTTACGCGAGGGACGGCGGGAAATGGGATGAGAACGGAAGCCGCTTTCCCTTTTTCCTTCTCTTTGCTTCTTACCTTATTTTCTCCTCTGCTAGCTTGCCTTCATTCAGACACCCCTCCATCCGCCTCACCTCCTCTGCACGGGCTGCCAACTCCTCCACTGAGCAGGAGAGAGAGAGAGGGGAGACAGAGGAAGAAGAAAAGTGTGCGATAAAGAGCAACAGTTCATTTCAGACACACTTAGTTGGGATTCATTAGAGAACAGGCCTTATTCAAATAATCACACAACCACAAAAAATGCAAAAAAATAGTCATAAAATTGCCTCAGATAGCTCTCGATGCAGAGATGATTTTGTTTTTTGAACTGGATTAAAGAAATAACTCTCCGAGATGACTACACACTTGCACGACACTTTACATCTCCTAGCAGGCAAACGTTAACTGGATGATTTACAAAACCTGCATACGGAGGTCTTTATTGATTCTTGTCAAGTTCAGCACGAGTGGGAAAACATGAACTGCGAGTCACCTTCAAAGCGAACCAAGAACTCTGCCACAGAAGAGGCACTGAATGCCTTTCAGAGGCGGAGAGGGAAGGGAGGAATGAACACAGTGCACTGCTTACAGTTGGTCGGCGAAGCAACCTTTTGTTGAGAGACAAAAGGGGTGCTCCCTGGTTTCGTCAATAGATGGCACTCTTTACCTTGAGCAGGCCACTTGAGCTCATACCCCTGACTGCAGCCCTTCAATCACATACCCTTTTCAGCCGTCTCTTCCATCTACATGCAATAAAACCCCATTGTCCTACACTTAGTAGTTTAGCACATTGAGGGATGCATAATAAACCACTAGTCAGGTTTCTCAGCTAGGTTTGCTTTGCAGGCCCTGTTCAGTTTGAATTTAAAATTTAGGATTTGCCCCCGCACTCCCCTCTTTTTTTTGTTCTGTATGCTGTTTTGTGAGTCAATGTTTCTTCATAGCTCTTAAAACCTTTTCACTAAATTCAGTATTCATTGAATATAACATAAACTGTCAGCCATCGGTGACCAAGGCTAGTGAATATTGAGAAGGTCTGTGCGCTGAATATGAAGAGGTGTGTGCGCTCCTGAGTCTGTGTTTATGTGTGCACGTGTGTGTGCGAGTGCGGGTGTTTGTTGAATATTTACGGAGCGGACCTTGACTTTCTGAGTGTGTATTTGGGTGTGTGAAATAGAAATATAGGAAATGTGTATTTCTGTAAGCTTTTTAAGGCCACACAGAATGCTAGGATAGAAGTGGTGGGAAAGACTGAAGAGGAGGAAGCCAAAACCAATACCATAAAGGAAACAATACAGAAAAGAAAATCCACATTTAATAAAACTATGACTAATTTATGGTTTTGTTGCATCAAAACTGTTTAAACTAAAGCCCTAGGAAAATTGAAGCTGCAACTGGAATTGCTAAATATTTAACGATGCGCTTTTATTTGTGTATCTATGTGCATGCATGTGCCCTGCCTTGGCTATTTTACCGAACCTCAAGGTGAAAGTTTTGCTATGAATCTCAATAATCAATAAAGTGGAGATGTGAAAACTTGAGATGGGGATCAAATTCGTATTCAAGGCATTCGCTTTTCAGGTGACCTCAGTGACACCTTCCACCAGGGGAAGCCACAGAGAGAGCAATTAACTGCATGCGCTGACCGTTTACACAAACTCTCTTATTTGTGCCCGAGCTCGCATAAATAAAGATGCGCACAAAACTGAAATACACACTGAAAATTAAGTGAAAAACAAATTTGTAGAAATACGAGGGGAAAAAATGGGCACAAAGGAAGCTGGTCCAAACACATACAAGTCCTTACTTAAATGTGGTATATATTTAGCTTGGCAAGACTTGATGACCAAATACTGACTATTTTTTTCCGCATAAAATGAGGATCTGCAGAGGGGGTGTGGATTTTGACACTTCTCTCTTTATCTTAGTAAAAGCAGAACTGCGATCCATATCCTGAGGTCTGAGGCCCTTAGCAAACTGTTTTGAGTGGCTTCATGAGCTGTGTCCGTAGTTCACAATTTAAGATCTTCAGTCCTTCTCTTTCTTAGCTCTTTGATTCTTGTCTTCACAACTTACGGTGTGACATTAGGCCACAATGTAACTCTCTCCCGATCTCTCCTTCTCAGTGCCTTCGTAGGAGCTTCAAAGCCCATCATGCAGCATCAGCCTATAATCACAGATCTGCGGTCAGATTACCCTGCTCTCACCGCTAACCTTTAACATGAGAAGGATGAAAACCTTGCTAACCCTGAATCAGTGGTTGGGGCTAGGCCCGGCCCTGCCTGGCCCTCATAAAAGCTTCATAAGGCTTCATGGGAGCTTCCTTTGGCTTTGTTGGGGGATTCGGAGCCGGCTAAGGTGCTCCCGAGAGATGTCCCAAAGCCTCCCAAGACTCTTTCTCTCTCTTTCTGAAGTTTCATGGGCTTGCAACACTGCTTTTGGGTATAAGCCAAAAGGTGCAGACACACAGCCGCACACTGTCATGCACACAAATACACCACAAGAAGACCAAAAAAAAAAAAAAAAACACACCTCGTATGCACACAACAGTGAACACTCACAAAGACAAAGACTAACACACACAAACACACACGCGTACACCCCAACACACTCCCCTCTTGCTCTCTCCTCTTCGCTTTATTTACAATCCTCTGGCAGCGGTACAAGGGCCCGGGGCTATAACACACGGCACCTAATGCTCAAACTGCCAGGTAATCTCATGTCTGACATCCCCCTTTGATAGAAACTGATCAATAGACTCTTGTAAAGGAGTCATTTTCTCTGATGTTTCTACCAACCACTTCTCTCTATCTCTAACTCTCTCTCCTTTTC